GAGGAGCAGCACCGTGAGAGGAGCAGGCACCGTGAGAGGAGCAGGCAGTCGGAGTTGTTTTTCACAGGCCTGTGCCGCGGCCCACTCAAACCCACCTCATGGCTGGCTGGTTGGCATTCCTGGCTCGCTCTGTAATTGTGGCACTCTTCCAGGCCCTCTCTGCTTCGCTCCCCCGCCCCCCTGACCACCATCAACCCGTTTCTACACAGACTGGCTCCCACCCTTCACCTGGCTGTTCGGCTCAGACTCCGACTTGAAGAAGAAAGCGTCACGGGGTGAGCACGAGGAGCTGTGCCGAACACCGGACAAAAAAACAAACAAAACAAACTTGAGTCTGCTTTGTGCTGTTTGAGGCTGATCGGGCTACGTGCCTTACAGCATGCTGATGCTCACGTACAACGCGAACAGAGGAAGTTACGTGCTGCTAACAAACGTCTGCTGGAAGGAGAGGCCTGCCAGGGTCAACTTTCTGCTCACAGGTTCAAAAGACACCATTTAATTTAACTGTGTTTGTAAAACACTTATAATTTCCTTATCTAACTTCTCTAGAAACTTCTCCACGGATGTGAGCGATAGAATTACTTTCATGTGCCTAAAATCCTTAATAATCTGTTTTTTATAAAATAAAAGCAATACTGATTTATATTACCGGAGTGATTCCCAGGTGCTGACAGACCAAATAGCATTTATGAATGGGAGTTTTTAAAACCCATATTTCATGGAACAAAGCAAACATGTCAATTGTTTAAACTAAGAAACTACATTTATTAGGACAAAATAAGGTCAGGTCAGTTGTTGGGACAGGGTCATGTTCAGAACTGTGAGGCATCTCCTCTTCTTTAAACAACAGTCTAAACATCTAGGAACTGAGCAGACCACATGATGGAGCCTTTGGAGGAGATATCATCCAACAAAATCCAACAAAGTTCAGTCAGGTCCTCTGGACAGTTTCTTTTTGTTGAAATGTTTCGTCTTTCATCCAAAAGACTTCATCAGTCTGAGGAGCCACAACAAACTCAGTCTTATAAACAGCACCTTCACATAGTGGATCAAGCAGTTTGATGGAGATAAGATGGTTTCTGGAGTAATGGATGCAGTTTACCACCGTCCTGCTGAAATATGAACGAGCTTCCCTGAAAAAGATGCTGTCTATAAGACAGTATATGTTGTTCTAAAACCTGTGCCTTTATAGATGTGTAAACTGCACATCATGGAAGAACTAATGCATCCCTATACCATC